GAACCTAAACTTCTACAGTTGTATTTTGTTGGAGATGATGAAAAGGAAGTTCAAATGCGAAACACGAATATACCTGGTATTAAATCAAATCTGGTACAACAGTTACAAAAAATGCTGCACAAACACAACAAATATGTTAAAAAACTTAAATCAACAATCGATATAATTCATCTAACCAAATTGACCACCAAGTTGTCATTCATGCAGATAAAAGACCATTAGAATCGCATCCAGGCAGGTTGAATGCTTCTACTACAAATGAAATTGGTGTCTTCATTGTTGGACAAGTGTTTGAAAATAGAAATATTATTTTAAAAACCAGAGATAACAAACTTCAACGCATAATTGAAACACATAGGTCTTATGATGCACTTTAATATCCAGTGATGTTCTGCTATGGTGAAGATGGATATTCTGTATGCATACTTCAGATAGATGCTGTTAGTAAAAAGCATACAAAAAAAAAATGTTTTCTGCTGACAATTTCTATTCATACCGATTAATGGTTAGAGGTCCGTCTGAGATCGCATACTTTATTTTAGAACTCTCCAGAACCAATTTTTAGTGGACATGTATGCAAAAATTGAATCTGATTTAGTTATATTCGAAGAAATCAAAGAAAGCTGAGAGTAGAAAATTATATACATTTAAAAGACTACATATCCCGTCTTAGTAATTTAAATGAACTTGGCCAAGCTGTGATATTACCATCATCATTCACGGGAGGTCTCCGCTACATGCACGAGCGTACGCAAGACGCAATGACATATGTTCGTTACTATGGCCGACCTGATTTATTTATAACCTTTACCTGCAATTCTAAATAGACCTATATTTATAAAGTATTATTTTCTGGCCAAAAAGCTCAAGATTGTCACGACATAATTAGTCGCGTATTTCATTAAAAAATGATAAAAATAATGGAGTTAATTACAAAAAGTAAAATTTTTGGACCTACAACTTGCTATATGTACACAATCGAATAGCAGAAACGAGGACATGGTCATATTTTATTGTCGTTATACCTGTGGACTAAAATCAGTGCTTAATTTACGAGTTAATATGAGAGTGCACTTGAAGGGAGATGCAAAAGCCGGAGAATTCTCTGAACTTTTAATGAATATTGGAGATAGCTGTATACTTGTGCTGCGCACGTGATACAGCTAGTATATACATATATATTAAAAAAAAAAGTTATCGGCTCACCATTAATAGCGGCTGTCACAAATGGTCCGCAAAGTAAACAATGAGCAAAACTCCAATGATCCACTAAAATATGCCTATATAGGTCTAATCCAAATTCACTGAAACAATATTTACTGGTATTTCTTTTTGTCATTAATTATTTATTTTGGTAAACTCAATGAATAATTTAACTATTTTAAACTTGAGAAGCTCTGTATCCTCCTTGCAGACCGTTAACAAGTTTTTTTTTTCAAAGAAAACATTGTATTTGGATAATTATTCTCATAATTTGAATCTTTTTTTGTTTATTCACAAGTTCTTTTTGTCCTGGTAGTGGTCATCACTTTTTAATGGGAAATTATTTTATCCTGGTAGTGGTCATCACTTTTTAATGGGAAATTGTTTTATCCTGGTAGTGGTCATCACTTTTTAATAGGAAATTATTATAAGTTTACCAGAGACGCTAATAAAAACACTAGTTTTGCTTAAAGCATATGATTAACTCTTTAATTTTGCATTATCTTATAAACTGCAAATAAACTGTTTACAATTATCAATTTTTTTAATATATAATCCGCAACTACGTCATAATCATCATTTTATAAAAACAAGCGGTTTATAAGATCACTGCCTAGCGGCTAAAAAGACGTAATTCACAGCACAAATATAAAGTCATTATTTCAACAAAAGCGCTAACTGTTCTCTTGCGGTTAAAAAATGTGACCCAGTGTCTCAGTTCTGTGTCACTGTTAATTCCCGATTAACCGAACACCGGCTAACTTGAAGCTTTAATATCTCAATCTGTTTCATTTGGTCTATTAAAATCTAACTATTTACTATTAAAATTATTTGCTTAAGGTGAACCTTTGATAACTTGGAACTTCGATTAGTCGAACTAATTTTTTGTCTTCTTTCACCAAAATTTTTCGGATAACTTTTTATTGTAGATATTGACATAATTAAAATTTAAAAAAAAAATAAGTCATTCCATGAAAAATATAAATAACTGAGCAAAGAATTTTGTTTTTTCGTTGTATTTAGATTTGAATGAAATAGATTGTTATCAGACGTAAAATCAGCTACGGATCAAAGGGGGGGAGTGAGAAGGGGTATGCATACCACCCCCACCCCTAGTAGAATCTGAAAGTCCTAAAATATCTTAGGAATAGAGGACCTTTTTTTTTTAAAAAAAAAAAACTGTATATACATATATATATATATATATATATATATATATATATATATATATATATATATATATATATATATATATATATATATATATATATATATATATATATATATATATATATATAATTGAATGTAGTTTTCATCTCTTTTGTCAACAAATCACGCCCTCAAGCGCTTCCCAACTTTTTTTTTCTTGCCCCTTCAAAACTTTGTCAAATCCAGATTCCTTCATAAGTTGACGTATTTGTGGCCCAACAAAAACACCCTCTTTAACTTTTGCATTACTTAATTTTGGAAATTTTTTTCTTAAATACCTAAAACCCTGCCCTTCTTTTTTCATACTTTTGACAAAGTTTTTCATTAAACCCGACTTAATATGTAATGGTTGAAGAAGAACATCTTTTGGATCCACGAGTGGTTCAGCTATGATATTTTTTTCATCTGTGTTGAGATTTCTTGTAGGTCAGTCTTATTTTAAATAATGTGAACTACTGTCTCTACTGTCCCATATACACAAAAATACCCTAGTATTTTTGTGTATATGGGAGTATTTTGAATACCCTAATTGCATAAGCAGTATTTTGAATACCCTAATTGCATTCTTAAAAGTATAGCAATGACTTTTAAACCACCACAAAATTTCCATAATTAAAATTAAATGAGTTGAGGAAAACTTTTATGTTTATATAAGTCACTTTCATGTGAACTGCATAGCCAACAGGAAAAGAAGGAAGACGGTTTCCATTGAGCAGTAATACAGCTTTCAAGCTTATTTTATATGAGTCTATGCATAATCTCCATTCAGTTGGATCATAGTTCAAATTTAAACAATTCGTTAATCCAAGAACATCAATGCAAACAACAAGAAAACTTTTCTTCTCAAAAAAAGAAAGCAAATTCTGCAGCCGTTTTCTGTAATGTGAAACCTTGACATAAAATTGGAGAAGATTCCACTACTTAAGTCTTGACTCTAGAAGTTCTGTCTTTTCCTGTGACAAGTCCAGATCTCGAACAAGATCACTTTATTCTGTTTGACTTAATCTGTGTGGCACATTATCTGTTAAAACAAAATCAGGATCATTCGATATGAAAGCCATTGGTTTCTCGTTTTTCTTCTATTTCTACTTCATTTCTGCCTTCATTTTGACTTCATTTCTGCTTCTAACTCACAACTTTGTCGTGGAGTAGGAAATGGTAAACTATCCGAATGTGGAATAGGTTAAATGACAGATGGAAGATTCGGATATTTAACTGTTGCTATTTTCTTTAAGCAGAAATAGAAATCATCTGTATGGTTTTAAGGCTCCCTCTATACCATAAGAACAGCAAAACCCAAGGATCTTTAGCATACACACATAACTAATAAAGTTAATACATATAATAACTAATAATAATACATAACTAATAATACATATAATAACTAATAGTAATACATAACTAAGCAAGTTAAAACATTATGAATAAAATATTATGGATAAACAAAAACAAAACAAACATTTTTTTAAATTTTCATTTTTTCAAATAATGACAACTTATACTCTTGAGAGAAATTTTTTGCTTTTATTTCTTAAAATAGAGCTAATATGCCATTTTTAATGTCGTTTTTGAATTCAGCAGCTGGAAATACATAAGAAATAACTAATTTTGGTTCCGAAACAAAATTACTGTTGGGCAGTATTATTTGTAATATCTAATGATTGCCATAGGCGTGAAAGTCGGAGTCATGTTTCTACAACTACCAGGGGTCAATGTTATAAAACTTTTTATCGGCGTAAAATTCTACCGGAGGAATTTTTACTCAGGAATTTTTACAGCCGTACATTTAGAGACGTAAAATGTTTTTTCATTCGATGTTATAAAACTTTTACCGGCGTAAAATTTTGAAGATATCTATGCTCTGAATTTATTTTCGGAAATCTACTGTCTGAATCAATAACTTAAAAGGTTCTCAAAAACAAAATGTTTTTGAGTTGAAAACATCAAAGTTAACAAAAATTAACAGTTTCTTATGGATTCGGACTGTTCTGATTCTGATGAAGAATATTTTGTTGCTTTAGAATATTTGGCAAATCAGAGACAACCACGAGAAGTAAAACTGTTCAAACAGTATTTAAACTGTTAAGAATACAATTTAAAAGTAATAAAATGGAATTGTCATTAATTTTTCACCCTACCCTATAACAAAATTTGTATAGCTTTTTTATAAAAATATTTTATATTATTTTCTATATAGAGGTTTCTTTAGACCAGAGTTATTAGTTCTTGGCCTTGACCGTGCCTTAAGACCAAAAACCAAGGCCTTGGCCTTGAAACTTTTGGCCTCGGCTTTGAAGTTTTTGGCCTTGACCTTGATTATTTTGGTCTTGGTCTTTATAATAAAATACATAAAATTAAAGAATAAAAAGTTTTTATTCTTTTTTTTACGTAATTAATTAGGTACTTAATCATTCTTTATTTTATAACATTGTGTTGATATAAATATAGAAAATCTACACACATTTTATATTATACAATCTATACACATAGAAACACATATTATAAAATCTATACACATATAAAATCTATACACACAGAAAAAATGGGAAA